CCTGTGGTACTCTTGGGAGTGGGTGGGGCAAGCCTGTGGTACTCTTGAGAGTGGGTGGGGCAAGCCTGTGGTACTCTTGGGAGTGGGTGGGGCAAGCCTGTGGTGCTCTTGGGAGTGGGTGGGGCATCTAAAGGATGGGCTTAGTGGGAGGCAGTTCAGACATTGTAGAGTGAAAAATTATGAAGATCATTTTATAAAATGATCTATAGATTCTTCCTTAGGTTTTTCTTTAAAAGGGCATGGAAAATTCTCTCTGACTGTGGACAGGCTAGTTACGGGAACTGGCTAGAATGCAAGTGAGCTAGGTGGAACCAGGAAGCTGGTAACTGTAGTGACAGGGCAAGGCCGCAGTGACAGTGCAGGACCACATTCTTGAGAAAGAATAGCGTACAGAGAGTTTTCACATGACCCTGACTCACATAGGTCGGGTTCCTTTGGAATGTTCCGCTATTTTTATGTTATGACACCTTAGCAACCCCTCATCCCCCTCCCAATTCCTTGGTTTGTGGTTTTTCCCTTTAAAAACTCCTCTAAAACTGGCTGTCTTTGTCAATTCAGCTCCTTTGTGGGCATACGAATTGACCGACAGCTAGCTGTCCATTTCCCGATTAAACCTTGGCTGTTGCTCCAGTTTTCGGTGTCTTGAGTGAATTACTGGGTGGCCACGACATCCTGAGACTTGAGTGAGGGTCTCCCCTCTGCGGGGGTCTTCAACATTAGGAGCTCTGTCTTAAAAGGAATATTGAGAATCTAGCCTCCTCTGATCTCTGTCTCTGCCTTCCAGATGCCATGAGGTGGTTGGGACTCTTCTGCCACACCCCTCTACAGTGGACTGTGATGCCACAGGCCCACAGCAATAGGCAGAGCCTACTGACCGTGAACTGAAACTCCTGGCCATGTGAGCCAAAATAAGCTTTTCTCCCTTTAAGTTGTATACCTTGAGTACTTTGTCACAGCAATTGTGAAAACATCTTCTTTTATTTTTAAATTGTCATATGAATGAGAGATTGTGCCAAAGCTTTTCAAAATCACAAGGATATGAGAGGCCTTTAAAAAAGCTTCCTTGGGGACTGGGTTCAGTGGTTAAGAGCACTTGTTGCTCTTGCAGAGAGCTTGAGTTCGATCCCCAGCACCCACACTGTAGTTCACAAACATTTGTAACACCAGTTCTAGAGAATCCAGCAGGTGCACACACAGTCCACATACATGCATGCTTACAAAGCATTCACATACATAAAACAAATAAAATAATCAAAAAAATTTTTAAAAGACTGTCTTGCTTTGAGAAGGTTGAGATTGGAGGGTAAGGTGTTCAAGGCCAGCCTGGGCTACACAGAAACAAACAAATTCAGCCAAAACCAAAAAAATTTTTTGATCTATTAGATGTCAGAAAATCAGTAAAGTGGCTTCAGTTTAAAGACAATTCGCGTAGGCTCAGGTATCCCTTCCTCTGCTGTCTAACCGCTGGTGAGTTTCTTGTGTGTCATATGCTAAGAGCTTTACATGATCATGGTGAAAGTTTTTAGAATATCTGGCCTCACAGCTCACGTCATCTCTGCAAAACACACCCGAAGTTATTCCAGAAGAAGATACACATGTACAGCAGGCCAGATTGCCACAGTCCCCTCTACCACATGCATCTTAGAGCAGCCTGTAGCTTTGCTTTCCCAAATACGTGAATCAGCCACTCAGAGAACAGAGCTCTCTGACACGGGCCAATGAGAAAGCAGAGCTTCCTGTGCCCTTGAGATTTTGTGGTTGTTACAAAGTACTGCCAAGGCAGTAGACATCTGATACACATGTATTAAGTCTCATTGATCGTTGATTCCATCACGGATCTGGACTACCACTCCCTTCACCAGTATGTATGTGTGTGCAAACCCAAACACACACAATGTGTCACACATGTAATAGTTTTGAAATGCATTTATCTTAAGTGTGTGTGAGGCACTGTTGGATCTTGACCCCAATCCTATGTTATTTTTTCTTTCCCTAAGTTGGGCTCATTGTCTACTAAACTGATATCATGACCCAGTGGTGGGTCAGGACCTGCAGTTTGGAAGTCACAGAAAACCCTGTCAGAAGACTTCATTCTGTTAGCAGGTGAGACTCAATATCACAAACCTCGGCTCTAAAGAATAGGTATAAATAGGTACTTTAAAAATCTTTGAAAGAGGGCTAGAGAGATGGCTCAGCGGTTAAGAGCATTGGTTGTTCTTCCAGAGGTCCTGAGTTCAATTTCCAGCAACCACATGGTGGCTCACAACCATCTATAGTGAAATCTTGGGTACATGCAGATACTTATACATAAAATAAAAAAAAAAATCTTTAAAAAAATGTTTGAAAGAAACAGCTACAAGTTTCCTGGGTTTGCCTCTGTGGCCCTTCCCCCACCTCCAGGAGCTGACCTTTCTCTTTCAAGACTTCAGAGATACAAGCATGACTGTCCCCTTCAGGGAGCTTCTTCTGAGTCACTATCCCTACTTGCGACTAATGGATGAGTCTTCCGCAGCACTGGCCACAGTGACTGGCTGGCTGCCCATACCCTGACAGACCTACCCTCAGAACCAAGAATGTCCAGAGTCTGCAAGACTGCCTAGGTGAAGCTCAGAAGGAGGAGGGCAGGTGCCTCATGTATCAGGGATGGAGTCTGCAGCTTGGGGATGCTCAGAAAACACACAATGAGTGGACTGAAATGATTTCATGCTTTTGGATGTATTTTATCTCTGAGGAAGGAAATTTGACCTGGTTCTTTATATCTTTAAAACTCTAGCCCCATGTGTCACCAATCAAACTGACAGACTGCATATGAAGGCACCCTGGTCTGGATACAATCCTTACACCAGTGGTCTGTGTGCCAGGATTTTGGCTGTGGACCCTTTAAGAGACAGGACCTGGTGGAAAGGGGCGGAGGAGTGCTGATGTGATTTGATTAGTTTTAGAGAGAGAATGAAGCTTCTCTTCTGCATTCTGCCTGCTGCTTTTTTCTCAGCCATGGTATAATGCAACCAGCTTGATCCTCTTCAGATGCAGGGTGCCTGAGTTTTTCCAACCACCACAATCGTGAGCCACACAAGGCTCTTTATAAATTGCACAGTGAGGCCGGGCAGTGGTGGCGCATGCCTTTAATCCCAGCACTTGGGAGGGAGAGGCAGGCGGATTTCTGAGTTCGAGGCCAGCCTGGTCTACAGAGTGAGTTCCAGGACAGCTAGGGCTACAAAGAGAAACCCTGTCTCGAAAAAAAACAAACAAAAAAAAAAAATTGCACAGTGCCAGGTGCTTTCTTAGTGCAACAGAAGCAGACTGCAGACTGGGGTGGTGGAATACCATGCTATGTGTGCTTCAGCCATGTGTCAAGAATGGTCTCCATGGGCTGGAGAGGTGGCTCAATGGTTAAGAGCACTGATTGCTCTTCCAGAGGTCCTGAGTTCAATTTCCAGCACCCACATGGTGGCTCACAACCATCTGTAATGGGATCCGGTGCCCTCTTCTGGTGTGTCTGAGGACAGCTACAGTGTACTCGCATATGTAAAATCCCCTCCCTTACAGGCCCTTCCACTGATGGTGACAGTCTCCGTGCCACCATGCTTCTGGTCACTTGTATACTCACACTTGCTGAACAGTGACAGTGTCTTCAAAGGACTGAGAGTGAAACTTCTAGAAGTTTCTTGGGAGTAAAACATGAGGAAGGGTGAATTGCAATATGAAGAAGTTGGCCTAGGGTGGTAGAAGCAATTTTGGGCTTCTCAGAGATGAGAGGAATCTGGTGTCCCTACTCATAAACCTGGGCCAGTTCACACATGGCCAGGTCCCAGTCATAAACATGGGTCAGTTCACACATGGGCAGGTCCTAGTCATAAACATGGGTCAGTTCACACATGAGCAGGTCCTCAGTCATAAACCTGGGCCAGTTCACACATGGGCAGGTCCCAGTCATAAATCTGGGCCAGTTCAC